AATGATAGCTACTACTTGGTCATATCACTCACTAAATTATGTATTAAACTATATTATAGAAGGCGCGTGGTCTGGGCATCTTCGGCCAGAGACGTTGCCCTCTCCTTGGGGCAGGGCCGTAGACCTGGCAACAAAATCGTTGCCATTCCTAATTCATCCCAAGATATCTCAAATTGAATGACACATTGTGGCCGCATGTGGCCGCAATACATTTACAAAGAATGCCATCGGCCTAAGCTCATGGACTGGTAAAAAATGACAAGGTCCATATACCCGTGCCTGTACTTGCGTTCGGCTCATCTCTCCAATTAGTGGAAGATAGTGGAAGAGTATTACCCCTCTGGGCCTGAGATTGGCCAGAAAGTGTACTTCTTGAACTGCAAGAGAAATTGTTTGAGATCCGGACCAAACTTTTTGTTGAGCTCCAAAAAAGCATTTCTTGAGTCTCGAGCCTTTCAATAGCCAAAGCATGTTTCAATAAATGTGGCTTGTGTGGTTGATTGTTGGTTCGATGTTGGTAGGGAGGGGTCGCAGCGCCTCCCTTCCAAGAACACGCAAAACAGGCAGCTTGCTCTGGTCATCCACATGTCGATTGCAGAAAAAAAGATGGGGAGGCCGTCCCTATTAGGTTGGAGGCCATCGCTAGTAGGTTGGAGGCCATCATCCCTATCAGGTTGGACGCCATCGCTATCAGGTTGGACGCCATCGCTATCAGGTTGGAGGCCATCGCTTTTTCAGATTGGTCGGTGACCTCCACAGAACCTTGAATGGTCCGACCTCAAGGATATTGTATGCATAACGAGTCTCTGCCTTTGGATGTGATGTGTTTGAGCCTTCATTTGGCTTCTCGGCGACTTCTTCAGGTTCCAAATGAAATGCTTGCGCTACACCAACAAATTGAACCTCACCCAGCGTCTTTAATTAGTGCAAATCGCACTCGGCCCCAAGAATTCCAAACCTCGTGAGATTTGATAAGATTAATTTCATTAAATCTTGCAATAGCTTTGTTTATAACCAAGAATATAAAATATCAAGCATATTTATATAGATATTTATTTAATATATAATTTGTTCAAACATATATATTAAGTGAAAATATAAATATGTGATATCCTATTTACAATTATTTTTAAAAATATATATAAATAAAAATATATATAAAGAATATATATATAAAGAATATATATATAAATATTGGAGTTGACCCGCTGTTTCCAATAGCCGAGGATTACGGAGGAAGAGAATAAAAGATTCATAGGTTGGAAAAGGAACAGGACACAGGTGGTAGCGGGGCAAAGGTCGACATAACAATTAGAATAAATAAACATATATAAAGAAAATAATACCCGTGTTTCTTTTGTACGCCTGCGGAGTGAGTAGGCCGCATGGGGTAGAAGAGTCATTGAGACGGTCCACTATATTTTGCTCTAAGTATATGTTTAATTGCGCCGACCTGCGCAGCAATATTCAGCAGCAATTTCTGCAAGGACCGTGCGATTGTCAATAAGATCTGCGGAGGGTAGCATCGGCAATCCATCCAAATCTAGGAGCGCGCTTTGTTATTGGAATAATATTAGGATCATTCTCGAGCAGCCGCCGATTGTCAATACGATGGGGATACTTGTAGAGATTCGGAGAAAATCATCCACCGTCCCCATCTACGCCTGAACGAACAATTTATAGGTGCGATCACACGGGACCTTCCTTGAAAATTCTTGTGGAGGGAATAGGCGCATCGCTATGTTGAGTTGTCTTCGGCGCCACTCCTGCATACTCTGCTCGGTGACCTTGCCCCCGATTGCAAGTGCCAATTAAAATCCTAGCATCTTAAAGAGTCGCCACTCTCCAGAGCTTGCTGCAGACCAAGTCTCTCCGCTATTGGATGCCTGTTGAAATATTGCGCACCCCTTCTTCGTGAGGATTTCACAAAAGGGCGGACGCCAACAGTGACACACCTGGGAGACAAAAGAATAGAAATGTTACATGGCCAGCGGAAAAGGGCGGACACCAGCAGTGACAGACCTGGGAGACAAATGAATAGAAATGCTACATGGCCAGCGGAAAAGGGCGGGCACCAGCAGTGACAGACCTGGGAGACAAATGAATAGAAATGCTACATGGCCAGCGTCCAAGGGCGGACACCAGCAATGACAAACCTGGGAGACAAATGAATAGAAATGCTACATGCCAGCAGTGACAGACCTAGGAGACAAATGAAAGGGCGGACACCAGCAGTGACACAAAGGGCGGACACATCTTAAGAAAGAATTGAGAATTCCTAACAATAAATTGTTTGGGAAAATATATTTAATCAAATTATGTTCATTAATTACCTCAAAATATATTCCATTATCGCAAAATTTGTTATCTATATAAGAATGTCTAACATTAATTTAAATATCGAAATCGTCCATAAATTATCATAAACCTTTCATATAAAATACGAGTTTCGTACTTCCAATCTCGGCCCTCGGGCCACGCATCTCGAATCTCAAATCTCGAAGCTCAAATCCCGATCCCGAATCTCGCATTTCGAATCTCGTATCTCGAGTCTCGCATCTCGGATTTCGGATCGCGAGTCTCACTTCTCGAATCTCGGATCGCGAACCTCGGATCTTGAATCTCAAATTTCGGATCTCAAACGCCGAATCTCGGACCTCGGATCTTAGATCTCGGATCACGGATCTCGAATCTCGCATTTGAATCTGGGATTTGGCATCTTAATCTCGCACCTCGAATCTCGGATTTCGTATCTCGGACCTCGAATCTCGGATCTCGCATCTCGAATCTCGGGTCTCGGAATTCGGGTCTCGAATCTCGAAACTCGCACCTCGAAGCTCGGAATTCGCATCTCGAACCTCGCCTCTCGCATCTCGAATTCGAGTCTCGAATCTCGGATCTCTTATCTCGAATCTCAGATCTCGGATCTCAAATCCCGAATCTCGGATCTCGCATCTCAAGTCTCGAATAAGATTGAAATATCGGATCATATTGGCTTTTCGGTACTTTAACCCAAGCATCAAAGATGCCATATGGCCTCCTTCACAGCCGTTTTTACCAGAATTGTTCCAACAAGCAAGATTACAATCGCTCTCGGCCTTCCCCCTTAGTGAAATTTCTACACATATAGCGATCGGCCCCAACCAAATCGCCAAATGTTAAGCGATTAAAAAAATGGTTTCTTAAACAAAGATTTCTCTCTCTCTCTCTCGTGCCATAGGTGTACTGACTAACCGGCACTAACGCAAAAATCTAAGAAAGAATCTGTCACACCCGTAGGCACCCCTAAAAGGCCAACGTCACTCAGTACATCTTGCGCAGCAAATAGACAAAAGGAACCACGCAAAGCAATTTCATTGAGTATCTAAATAGAGGCGAAATCCAGGTCAAACCTGGTGAGAACATGTTTTTCAATTACAAAATCGTCAGAATTCAGAGTTTCTAGCCGCATTTAGGATATATGTCAATTGTTCATTGGATTTGGAAAATTCAATATCTGGGCAAAGAAAATCCCAAACAAAGTTGAGCGAAGAATCAAGCCATTTTTGTCTGTCTACCCACACGGCGGAACGTGATTTCAAAAGGAATGGCCGAATTTGGGCGAAAGCTCACATTCCTCAAGGGATGGCTATGGTCTTGACGCAAAATGTGCCCAATCAAGGCAATTCTCTGCTTTATAAGGGTATCTTTTATTCTGCACACAGCACTATTTGACTTATTTCGCGCTCTAATTGCCAAATTTGCTCTTCTGAACACTTTAGTATTGATGTTCGCTCTATTTACAAAGGTGAATTCCATACGAAGAATCTGACGTAAACCTTTGAAATGGAAAGATTCGAGACGCGACATTTGCTAGTGTTTGGAGCCCGTACAGGACTCTAGATTTCACGATTGCATCGAAAATTCTGCTATTGTTCCCTGTTGTACCGTGAGCTTGTTTCCAGTAAATGTGAGTGTTCATCCAAATACTTGCAGCTGCCGCAATTCGATTAAAGATTTCGTTTGCAATACAAACTCACATACGCAAATATATAAATATATCTAAATTAGCCCAGCTAAAGACCCCAATAGCAAGATACAAATCGGGACAAAAAGAAAAATCTAGAAATAATTATTGTTTTCAACCCATCGGCCATCTCTTCCTTGGACACCATCATCATACAACCGCGACACCATCACAAAATGACCAGGACACCATCAAAATATAACCGAGACACCATCACAAAATAACCGGGACACCATCACAAGGTGACCGAAACACCAACATAACATAATAAAAATATCATCATAATATGACCGGAACATAATCATAATATGACCGGGAAATTATCACATAACCCGGACATCATCAAAACATCACCGGCACACCGTCACAACACGACCGAAACACCATTAAAACATGCCCGAAACATCATCACAACATAACCGAAACACCATCAAAACAAAACCGACCACAACATCAAAATTAATGCTAAACTAATTACGCCACTAACAACATTTAATATTTAACAAATTTGTTATTCAATATCAAAATAAAAATAAATATAATTGTTCAATAAAAAAAATCTAATATATTTTCAAAAATATAGGTGTTTATAATATTATATAATATTTCAAAATTATTTAAACATATTCCATCGACCTAAAAGAATATATCTATTTTATATATATTTCATAATATAATAATAATAGTAATAATAATACAACAATTCAATTATTATATTTTCCATTAATGTTAAAATCGATTCCCAAACATAAAATCAAAAAAACAAAACAAATCATTAAAAAACAAAAGCCTTAATATATTTTAATTTTATCAAATTACGTATGTACCTATTAATAAATCTTATCGTAATATTATAAATAGTAATAATTATTAGAATAATAATATAATATATATTATATATATATAAATAAATCAATATATAAAATATGTTAATCAATATATAAATTAATCAATATTAAATATATATTTAGATATTCAATATATTTATATTTTTTTAAATTCTAGAAAGCATCTGGGCGAGGTCCTGCAAAGTGGAAATACATAGAGATATATATATAGATAATGATATGCAATAAATAAAATTCATGAATTGGCCCTGCCTTTGTACGGAATAGGTTCCGTATAGAAATGGCGAGGCCTTAGCAACGATGGCTTGAAATGATTATGATTTCCATTGATTTCCAATCGCTCTCTCTCAAGGCTAAACCCCAAAGCTTGTTACACAAGTGCAAGTCCTGGAAGTTAGGTGAGATATGGTGAGATGTACCATCAAATCGTATCCGAATGCCTCTAACTCATGTGGCTGAATTGCGTGTCGTTGTTGGAGAGCCCTCCAAAGGACAAGACAGCCCAGCTGATGCTTACTGACGTCCCTCTCAAGCTCTTTTATTGCTGAGCGTGCTCCGGTACCCGTCCAAATGGCGACTCCGGGCAGCCCTGTTAGCGTCCTCAAGGGCTACATTTGCCCTCGAAGCGCATGCCCTCGAAATTCAGCACTGGGGCCATGACCGTCGGAGTCTTCATTTGCATGATCTTCAGGGCACTGGCGTCGTCCACCGAGGTCCATTTGTAGGAGATCTTGCGTATCGTGGACCATACCGACGAGCGCTCGTATTCCGCAAGTGGAGTTTCCACGTCTTTCCAAGCATCTTCCGCGGACTTCACCGACATTCCAGGGTCTTGCGTGGATTTTACCTTATCGGGGTGCTGTCCGGCAGGGCACTGCCAGTTACACTTGTGCAACCCCGATGAATCCAGCTCATATTGCAAGTCGCCGCCACATGCGACTTTTCCACACTGAGCAAGGCCAATTCCTTCCAACCCATTCTGAGCAATGTTGGTGCCATGCCTGGCGCTTGCTTGAAAACTTGAAAAGAACATCTATATACCCAAAATAACACCCAGTCAAAAATAAAAACAGGTACAAACACCCAGCATAGCCTGGCATGGACTGGATTCAAAACTGGAAAACATTGTCCAACTCCGCTCGAAGGTACGCAAGCATGAACATGCTCAAGAAATGACGAACCCACATCGCAAAAGCCCTGGGATTCTTTCTTGCGGCTATCAACTTCGCGGGCACCTCGTCCGGCTTAATGTGAGCTTGCTTGAGAAGACCTGGCATCACCTCATGCCACTGGTCCAGGCAACTGTCCAGGGCATCTCTTGCACTGCTACCAAATTTTGTTTGGAAGAGTTTGAGGATCACCTTCTTCTTGATGTCACCCTCGGAATCGGCCTTGCTCTGCATGCCTTCCATCAGCGAGTGATAGTTGTCCGAGGCAACTTTGACAAGTTCAACGCAGCAGAGAGTCAAGATGGGAACAAGGACGAAAAAGATGATGAAGAACACAAATTTTTGGTCACCGGCTGACTCCTGGAGCTCCAGGGTTGCCGAGGCCTTGTCGATGCTCTCTGTGAGGTTAGTCCCCAGCTCCATCAAGTTCGTAAGGATCGAAGTTCCGTTCTCCTTCTGAAAGACCTCTTGGAAGATGTGGTTGGATGCAATGCGCGGCATGGTAGAGTTCACAGGCACCAAGGGAGGATTTGCCGTTCGCGGCTCGACGAAACAAAAGCTACAAGGCTCGAAGCTGAGCAAAATCCGCGAGTTTTTCATGATCAAATCAACCACCATGGCAGACACATGAGTGACTCACTCACAAACATAGACTATGACGAATGTACCCGCCAAGGCACCAATGTTCTTGTATCTCGCAAAGCCTCAGCTTGTCATAAAGCCGGTTTGCTAGTTACATGATCGCAAAAAGTGATGAAAACATGCCTTGGCAAACAAATCATCTTTAAGGGCGTTGATGAAAAATATACTCATATCATTTATTGCTGATGCTCTCCCAGACCAATCTAGAGCTGAGACGGTCGCTCACCCACACTCGCACTCCAAAGGTCCTTTTTGGAACGGTAGTACCTGGCAAGCGGAAATGGCACATACAACAAAGCAGAGAAATGGATCACACAAATACAACTAGTTCACATGGACAGTGGCTGACAGCAAGGTGCAAGACTTCGGAGGCTCTCGTCCGGGCACGTGATATCCCGGCTCTCGTCCGGGTTGTATGGGGGCGTCACCACATCAAAGAAACAGCAGTCCTGCAAGCATCATTATATACTCATCAGGAAACATCATGAAACTGCGACGAAGAGGAAACCAATTGACACACAGGAGTGCAAGGTTGTGTACGTGGAAAACCACGGGTGAAAATGATGCAAAAAGGTTCACGCATGTTCACGCCATTCGCCTTGGACGCGTTCTCTCATGTGTGTTTTACAAAGGGTACTGGATAGTGTGGGAAATGCTGCAGCTTTATGTTGCCTCCTGGTTCCGACTTGGTTGAACCGCCTGGACCCTGAGAATCAACAGCGAGGCACTCTCCTCAACGGCTTCCAACGTGTGCATGTTGCCCACATCTGGAGTAAGAGAATACGTCCTGACAGCATAAGTGGCACAGTAGGAGCAAGGAAACTACTAGTAGCTCCTGGCCTTACTGGAAACAAAAGCTAGCAGCTATTAGGAGCAAGGACGCTAGAACTGGGGAAAATTAAAAGACCCTCTGTGCTTCCACCCGACCCATGACTCCCTGGAGGTGGAGAACGAAGACCCTGGCTAGCGCCGAAGGAACGAACAGATTGACACTTGCACAAGGTTGGGAAGCATGGTGATACAATCCCTAAAAAGTCGACAGTTTGGACGCCAAGGAGTGTCTCCTTTCTTTCTCTTTATTCCCCAAACAGTGTGGTAACACTTAGGGGCGGTGTTTAATCGAGGTGTTGCATCGGGGCGTCCGGCTATTTCGTTGCTATTTACAGTACATTCATGCCTCTCGAAATCCTCGAAGTGCATTTCGACTGCGCATGCGCTCTCGTTGCGGTGCCGCACGCACTTTGGTGGTCACTTTTCGTGGCAGGCGCGAGGGAAACCTCGTGCTTTGGTGGTCCAAAGTCGACTTTCATCGTGACAGGCGCAAGGGGTCGGAGCGGTTTTACTTCGATGTGTAGATTTCGATAGATTTCGTGGCAGGCACAGCACTGGTAATCTTCGACGTGCTCTGATTTCGTGACACGTGAAGTGAATCGTGACTTTTGGACATGTGGCTCGTTTTCCGAAGTCGTCACAGGTGCAGTACTTTGTGGACCTTGAAGTGCAGATTTCGTGGCAGGCGCAGTACTCAGGCGCGGTACTTTGTGGCCTTGAAGTGCAGATTTCGTGGCAGGTGCAGAACATTTCGTGGCAGGTGCAATACCTCGCGGACTTTTCCCAGCTTGAACCCCCACCACCATCACCACCACCGTCACCACCACCACCACCACCATCACCACGATCTCCACCTCCATCACCACCATCACCTGTCTGGACCTCTAGACTGCCCCACACACACTTTTATTGACACGCGTACTGACTCGACTGCCGCTCGCCACACGGCAACCTAGGGTACCAGGTTCCAGAAAAAAAGGAAAGGAGGCCTGAGCACCTGTAGTTAAAGGCCTAGTTCCAACTCTACGAGACGACGAACAGGTCGAAGTGACGGCGTACGCTCTTGTCTGCAGCGTGCGCTAGCCCTTTAAAGAAAATGAGAGTGACAGCTTTGTCAACAGTTCCAAAAGGCAGGTACACCAGGTTGATCAGACCTGGCTTCCACTATCACGTATAGCTTCATTGGCATGCGTTTGCGTGATAGCCACATGCCCCCTGCTGTAACTTTTGAACAAACCGAAAGTTCTCCAATCCAAAATAAGGATCCCTATGATTTGAAGTACACACACACCCACACGCCCCCCACTTGGGGAGGCGAAAAGAGCTAAGGTCGGGACAGTTGCGCGCGCGTGCGCGCAGCAAAGACACAAGAATGAAGACATGAAAAGCGGTCAAGACGGGACAAAGGTGTATGTGGTTGCGATGAAAAGGAACCAAGTGCACAGGGACAAACGATGAAAGCCCACCTCATTGCAAAGACCTGGGCGACCTGAAGCCTGGGTTAAAGGTAGGTGTTGCACGTACAAACTAAGGGCCGAGCCGTGTGTGCGCAAAAGAAGGAAAGAGATGAGACGACGGAACATGAAGACAGGAAGACACGAAACGAAAGAGGAAAAGAGGGTGTGCCGAGGGGAAAAAGAATGAGAAGGGAAACCAAATGAAGGGGATGGAAACCAACGAGACCGAGCCTCATTAGAAACACTTGCGTAGACCTCGCCTCGTTTGTGTATACGCTGTATGTGCACCTGAGAATGCGACAGGTTCCAGTGAACCTAAAAAAGAACTTCAGTCGCTCAGCCAGCTTGGACCGCTGCGGTCACGTTTCGGCATGAAGCCGTCTTAGAATTCAATAGTCCGTCAAGTCTGGGCAAGTAACTTTGGCACAAGCCTCCTGCTGTCCGCTCCGGACACCTACGTTCCCAAAGCCGGGGAAGGAACGTGGACAAACCCCGTTCAACGGGTCCACAGGGGCCACTCGTCGGGGTCACCCTGGGCTCTCACTGAGGAGAGACACACTTATTGACATGCGTACTGACTCGACCGCCGCTCGCCACACGGCAACCTAGGGCACCAGGTTCCTGAAAACGAGGCCTGAGCACCTGTAGTTAAAGGCCAAAGTTCCAACTCCACGAGACGACGGACAGGTCGAAGTGACGGCGAACGCTCTTGTCTGCAGCGTGCGCTAGCCCTTTAAAGAAAATGAGAGTGACAGCTTTGTCAACAGTTCCAAGAAGCAGGTACACCAGGTTGATCAGACCTGGCCTCCACTATCACGCATAGCTTCGTTGGCATGCGTTTGCGTGATAGCCGCATGCCCCCTGCTGCAACTTTTGAACAAACCGAAAGTTCTCCAATCCAAAATAAGGATCACTATGATTTGAAGTATACACACACACACTGTTTGGGGTCTCTTGCCGGGATAATTTGTTTAAGCCCGTGGCCCTGCCAGGCCTCCTTACTTGATTGATTGGGAGTAAGCTACGTAAGCTTTTACATATGGAAGCAGGATAGCTCAGGCTTCTTCAAGGAAGCTCCCCTTGCCAGCCTAAAGGCGTCCTTGAAGAAGCGTTCGCACTATTCACTTGGTTCCTTGATTTTTAGGGAAATTTACTTTACAGTTCATCTGAAGTCTTTGATGTCCGACGCATTTTGCTTATGGACATAAAGCCCTCAAGCATCAAAGTCCCTGGTCGTTTCCCTGACAAAAAAGCAATACACCCCTATACAAGTCCTTTTGAGCATTGTAGAAACATATATATATATATACAGTAGAAAATGATAGCTACTACTTGGTCATATCACTCACTAAATTGTGTATTAAACTATATTATAGAAGGCGCGTGGTCTGGGCATCTTCGGCCAGAGACGTTGCCCTCTCCTTGGGGCAGGGCCGTAGACCTGGCAACAAAATCGTTGCCACTCCTAATTCATCCCAAGATATCTCAAATTGAATGACACATTGTGGCCGCATGTGGCCGCAATACATTTACAAAGAATGCCATCGGCCTGAGCTCATGGACTGGGGAAAACATGAAAAGGTCCATATACCTGTGCCTGTACCTGCGTTCAGTTCATCTCTCCAACTAGTGGAAGATAGTGGAAGAGTATTACCCCTCTGGGCCTGAGATTGGCCAGAAAGTGTACTTCTTGAACTGCAAGAGAAACTGTTTGAGACCCGGACCAAACTTTTTGATGAGCTCCAAAAAAGCATTTCTTGAGTCTCGAGCCTTTCAATAGCCAAAGCATGTTTCAATAAATGTGGCTTGTGTGGTTGACTGTTAGTTCGATGCTGGTAGGGAGGGGTCGCAGCGCCTCCCTTCCAAGAACACGCAAAACAGGCAGCTTGCTCTGGTCATCCACATGTCGATTCCAGAAAAAAGATGGGGAGGCCGTCCCTATTAGGTTGGAGGCCATCGCTAGTAGGTTGGAGGCCATCGCTTTTTCAGATTGGTCGGTGACCTCCACAGAACCTTGAATGGTCCGACCTCAAGGATATTGTATGCATAACGAGTCTCTGCCTTTGGATGTGATGTGTTTGAGCCTTCAACTGGCTTCTCGGCGACTTCTTCTCAAAGAACCGCATTCTTGCTTGGCTTGGTTGGGGCGTTGCTCGTCAAGGAACTTTCATTTTTGGCTTTTTGTTGTTTCCTTTGCGGATTCCTGGATTGCTCCACTCCTACTTATTGTTTCTTTGGTTTCTTGTGTTGGTTTTCGTTGGTTTCAATAGATTACATTTGACTGTTGACTAATGAAAGTGTAGTCCGTCTGTCCATGGTACTGTTCGTGAAAATATGTATTTTGGATGCTCAACAAATGCACTTTTGCAGTTCAAAAATACACGGCCCCCGGTGCCACACTGGAATCAGCTATAACCAATCTTAGACCATTCATGGCTGCCTCAGAGGAGAACACTCGAGCCCATTGCCTGGCGGCAACACACTGCCCAAAGATCAAAGACTGAGCAATTGCATTCCTGCACATACTAAAGGCCTCTGCATCTTGACTCAGCAAACTGTCGATTTGATTTGATACAAACGTCTGGAGCTAACGAATGATTTTGAGATGTCTCACTTTGTAGTGATCCAGAAGCTTGCGGGTTGGTTCAGTACAATTTTGGGCACCGGCCTGCTCCGGCTGCGGCGAAGCTTGCCACTGTTACGAGCATCATCGCCTGATCCAGTGAGTAGGCAACAGATGAATCTGCACTGCTCAGACACTGCTCAGAGGCTAAAGCCACAAATTCCAACAGTAAGCGAAGGCAGCGGCTCTTTTCAAGTGACCTTCTGTGACAAACATCTTCTGTCAGTTCAGTTCACAAATTCGGTGGTTGGTCATGAAACGTTAATAAATCGACCAACAGAGGAATTAAACCTGATCATATTATAAGTGTTCTCTCACCGTCCCGCCTGGGTCCATTGGCTTGACGGGTACAGCACCCTCCAAGTTGACCTGCGCGGGGCAACGCACACCGGCACACGAATGGAGGAAGAAACCCAGACTCCACCCAGAACCTCGTAGTGTATCATGGTGTACTGTATAAATTGTACAAGATGTTGATTTGGGGAACCCAACCATCAGCTCATGTCCTGTCAAACTACACTTTTCCCTCCAAGCAAACTGTTTACATTTGGTGATGCAGCATTTCCAAGTCAAACATAAAACAAGCAGGAAATACTGTATCTCTTCCACCGGCCGTCAGTACGAGCCGATTCTAGATATTCTCCAAGCCACGTTTCGCCATCAATCTGGATTCTCCTTTTGATACTTCCTCCAACCTAATATACACCTAGCAATGGCCTCCGACCTAGTAGCTGCGGCCTCCAACCTAGCAGCGTTGGCCTCCAACCTAGTAGCGTTGGCCTCCAACCTACTAGCGATGGCCTCTTATCTTCCTCCACCTGTCAACTACGTGCTGCCCCTTTTTTGGTGCTTTCTCGCATGCAGCTCGCGCCGTTGGGAGCACCTTTGGCCCCGACGGCGAATTGTTTGCCAGCCCGTCAGCCGGCAAACGCGTGAGAAGCTCTGCGTCACAGGTTCCACTAAGGGGCTGGACTCTTCTGTGCCCATCCATCGATCTATTGGCTTCATATCCATTCATATCCCACCTACTGACCTCCTAGGATGAGATTGTTGCAGCTTGTTATCATCAGGTGGAGATGCGGCGTCCCCGATGGGAAGAACATCATTCCAAATTGATCCAAGGTCCTCTGGTTTTTGAGAGTCCTATTCCTCTGAGTCTTCAGAGACCCCGCCTTGAAATAGAGGACATTCTATATTATATATCTGTATACTGTATATCTGTGTGTTCCTTCATTCACTTCATTCATCAGGATCGCCAAACAAGGAGCCAAAAAAGATTCGCAAGAATGGATGGACATGCAGTGGAAAAGAATTAAGCTTTGGCAGAAAAGGGTCTTAAATCGTTCACCACCTGGAGAGAAGGTCAATGGAGTTGTCAAATTCAAAGACCCTGCCATCCCCCAAGAACCTGGACTGAGCAGACTAGATATATGTGCACATCGGACGCAGTGGCTGGCCCCATTTGCGGCATCAATATGGCATTCATGTTTTGCCCAAGCGTTCCTGCGGGCCAAACAAACCCAGTGCGTGCTATGGGGTGGTCCGCATTGCTCCCGTCCTGGTTCTGAGGCAATTGAGAGCTGTCGCTCGAGCTTTTGCTCGCAGCCCTAAATGTTGCATTGGATCGCCTCACACACGGTGAAACACAGCCGCCTAAATGTTGCGACGTATGCACGTGTCGACCGGCAAGCACGCCGGACCCCAAAACGTGTGACATGCACTTCAGAGAGTTCGGTTTGGCTTAGGTGACCAAGTTGTGCAAGTGATATGAATCCGGTCTGAACGCACAAATCAACCTCACACAAAGAATAGGGCCTGACGACCCATGAAAGCTACGCTGAGGATGGCTGGGGCAGGTTCTGCTGTACATGTTGTGCGCAAGTGTACATAAGGGGTTGTCTTTTCTATGTTCCCAGAAGGGCACTTGAATCTTGGCAAGAAACCTATTGAGTGTCCCAAACACGTCGGTCATTTTGATCATCTCACATCTTTCACAATGTTTTGGCTCACCATGAAGAGAAAGTTGAACCGTACAACACATGAACACATTTGTTCAAAGTTACAGCATTCGATGTTTGCCTCACGACACAAAGGAAGGCAACATCATGGGGTCTGTGCTGGGGGATGGTGGTGAGTTTTCCATGTCTATCTTCTCTTCAAATCCCCTTCAACATTAGATAATGACATGCCGATCAAATAAAAAACTGACTGCTTGGCGAGGTATGGGTCAAATGGTAAGCAGGAGCTCCTTGACATCCAATTTGGGCCTGCTTGGGAGAGGTTCTTCTGCCCCTATGTGTACTGCTACACTATGCTGCTCGTACTATCATCAAACCGGAAAGAACCGAAGAATTGCAGGCTCAGCAACAAGCTATGCAGCAGCGACCAATGGCTCGTCCGCCTCAGCCTCGACATGCGAGCACCTGGCCAATGCTTGGTCTGATGCACACCTTGTGGGGGCACGCTACACATGATCCCAAAAATACAGTAGAAAAAAATAAACGAAAAAAATCGAAAAAACACGGATGACTTCTTGGTGTGAATGCGCTGAAAAACTAGTTCACCTTTGGAGCAGGGGCCAAAGTGACACCATGTGGCATCCGATAGCATCAGCTCAGATCAGGCGAGAAAAAGCTCCGATCCGCTACAAACTAAGAGAAACAAGAGTCGAATGTGGCTCCGCAACCCTTCGTGGGGAAGTCCAGTCGAGCCTTTGTGCGCCCGAATGCCGTTTTGCAGAGCGCCAAACCTGGAAGAGAGCCGTTTGCATTCATAGTTACATACAATATTTTATGTGCCAAATTGGATAATATTGCATGTGTCTATATTTATACGTGGATACTTGTGTATATATATCCGCAGCGGATTGTATATAGAGTGTCTTTCTACATCTGACTGGCCTCTCTGTTGTTCCAAACTACCAGGTCTCTACCGTCTCTACCTGCTTCACCCCTTGTCATCAGAACATGTCAGAGCTGCCTTCGACATGTTTGGTCAAGTCGAAAGTCAAACACCCTTATCTGCGTGATCGAAAGGCCTGGTCCTTTTGTCTTCCCTTTTGCTCGCTCCAATTCTACACAGGCCATCGAAAAGTCTTGTGAAATCTTGTGAAATTGCGTTTGAATGTGCTTGATTGTTTTTTCACACCGGCTTTGGATTTCGGCTCGGCATGATCCACGCCACTCATGGCTCCACCGCCCGAGGCCGGCACGCCCCACACGGCGGCAGCCAGGGCTCCAAAGACGGCCAACATGACGGGCCAAACGCCCAAGGCCTCGTGTGGTGCCCAATGATGTCTTTTTGGGGAACACTAGAGGTGGTCAGTTTGGTACAATACCAATTGGTTCTTTAGTTCTTCGATTATTTCCTCTATTTAACCAACCAATAGTAAATGGCCATCTATGGTGCCAGGAACTCCTCAACTAAAGCGGCTTATACATGCTTATCCTTATACCAAATAGTTTTGACCTGAATGCATAGCAACGAATAATGATGACTTTTCCAAGGTTGTGTACAAAGTTGTGTACGAGGTTGCGTGTTTCGATCTGTTCCAAATGGCATTCTGTTGATTGAATTCACACTTGCCACACTCCTTTTCATGAATGCAAGGTCATGTTGATGGATGGTGTTCTGCCGAACAATAAGCACCTTGAGGTGATCTGCTGCCTTTATGATATATAATCCTTTATGTGGTTTGCTTTGATTTCAGGCTTAAACTATGGCCTTTGACCTGAAGACCATGGCCTTTGCCGCTGAGGCTTCGCGCATGAATGCGCCTTGTAAGATGTCTGCCGGGCACTTGGTTGAACCTCAAGCTGGTGAAACAAACTGCTGCATCCGATTCTGCTGAAAGGACTTGACACAACAAAATATGGGACCCCTACAGTACACCTCTAGCTATGGATAAAACTATTGAAGCCTGGACGGCAGGAGAATGGGAGTGAAAAATCCTTCCGTCTGGTGGGCAGCCTTCCCAAATGCAATGGTCGGAACCATGGTTGTTGGAGGGAGGGCGGTGAGTTGGGAGGTACTCAAACAGTCACCAGCCATCAACATATCCTCTATCTGTTGAGCTTTGGAACGCACGTCTCTGCTTGGCCGCAGTCCGAAGAGTGCAGACTTGTTGAATGGATTTGATGGGCAATCACCTATCTCTGAACGGATTTAAAAGATATTAGCGGGATTTTGCAGAAACTGTTGCATGGCTCTTGATCAGTTTGACCATGCTTTTTAGACCATGGCGTTTAATACTGGCCACGCTGTTGTGGCTGGTTTTGCTCTGCAGCCTTGGAAGCCCTGCATCTGCATGATCATCAGCTCAAACTTGGACTTTTCTCGCTTGGCTGTCTCCGCGATGGAGTCCTGGACGCGATACTCCAGGCCGACAAAACAGCGAAGTCCAGTGGAGTCGAAGGTACAATGCTCAGCCTCATCCCAACTCTCATCGACAATCAACTACACAACCAAAGGGTGTTCAAAAAGTATGTTTAAAAAATCAGCACAACCACAACCACAACGACAACAGCAATAGCAACAGTAACAACAACAACAACAACAACAACAACTACTACTACTACTACTACTACTACTACTACTACAACTACAAGAAGTGCAAAGGCCATGCAGCCATGACTAACACAGCAACTGGTGTACAAAAACAAATTGGATCAGTGACAAAAGCATGCACGAGCCATGTCGTGTGTTTGGCGACTCCCCGATGTGGACTGAGTGGTAGGGTCCAGAAAAGGTGAGCAATGTTAAATGGCTGACTCGATGTTTGTCAACTTGCCCTACTGACAGGGCTTTGGGTGGCTACTTCTAAGCAAACGAACTCAATTTTCAAGTGGCCCTGCTCACAAGCCTCTCGGTAAGATGTTGTACAACCACTACCCACAAGCAGGCTGGTGGCCCTGTCGTGCATGTTACTCCACCGCTTTCGTATGACTACTCACTTACAATCTTACACAAGTCCTTGCCTTCTTATTAGGGGTTCTCTGGGGTTGTACAGTAGAGGAAGTGGTTCTACCTTTGCGTCCACCCTGACATCGTCCAGTCTCACTCGGATCGGACGTTTTGGGGTGTGTTTTAAGCTCAATGAATCGATTGATCCAAAAAATCCGCTGATCGGGTTCCCTGCCTGCTTCGTTCCGAAGGTACTGCACCAATAGTCGTGGTTCTGCGCGTGGGGTGTTTGGAAGTCCAGGCCAAAGCCATGTTTTTGTTGCAGTCGAAGAAGTGGGCTTTAATAGTTCAGTTATTCTACAGGCCGCGACTCCATCATCGTCATCATCTGTCGATTTGACACTCTACATCGACGTCCACCGCCGCACCTCTCTGAACGTGGCAGGATCCTTCTTGGAGCACCTGCA